GAAGTAAGGTAATTTGGTTTGTTACCCTGTCATAGATTTATTGTTTCAACCTTTGTCCTTTGATTTTGTATTCAGAATAGTTTCTCTTTCTTCAGCTGAACCTTTGGGCAAAAATCAATAATTCAGAAAACTGTTGACAAAACCCCAAGAAACTAGAATGTGCAGAACACCTAACGTTTTAGAAATAAATTTGGATTTCACCTTAACACTTTAAATTCATACTCTTTCTGTAGCTGTTTAGCTGTAGGATTCTCCATAAATTAGGATAAACATCTTTGTTCATATTCATTTTGGCAGAGCTGGTTAGCATGAAGTATCTGCCTAGATTTTGCTTCGTCAGTAGTTTTGATATCTGCACTTTGTCAGAACTGTTTAATTTACTGTTATGAAGGAAACAGCCTAGATTTAATTCATGCTGGGTTTGTTTGTTTTTGTTTTGTTTTTTTTTTTCATTTGCCAGAAGAGCTGGAAGGCAGAGTTATTACTAGATTCAAAGGCACTGCTTTCAGATCCTATTTCATCTAATAATGTCAGACTCAGACATCGCATAGCTATCTAAAAAGGAAATTAATTGAAAGGAATAAAAACAACACAGCATTCACTCAAGTGTTCCTGTGTGTAACATTCATGCACAGTTTAAATTCTTTCTCTTAATTTTCTCTTGAATTTGGTCCTAAAAGGCAACTAAAACTGCCTTCATCGCAAAGCAGAAACTAGTCCAGATGTCAGCTTTCTCCTATATCCACTGCCTGAGCTTACAGCTAGTTTTTTTTTCCTGTTATAATCTACGTTTTCAAATGCTACTGCTAAATGCTTTTTAATTACCTTGTTGCTTCTTTATTTTAAGGAAAGTAATTCACTGCAGACAGCAGTGTGATGTAGCTGTATCTACAGTAACTGAGGATGTCAGAGGCAGTTCCTACAGGCTCGATGTGACTAAGCTGTCTTGCTTGTCTCTCTGAGAGCTCGCTGGTCTGTGTTGGCATATGCTGTCTCAGGGAGAAGAAAAAATATTTGGATCACATTAAAAAGCCTCGAAAGTAAGCTTATTGAAAGGAATTGGTCATGGCGCTATTGAAATACCAAAGCCTAAGATAAAAGAAGAATTTATTCCAGTTAGCCTTTCTCTCTTTGTAGACATGTAAGGCAGAAAAATCTATGACTTACCTAAATGGAGAGATTGGTCTAAGTTTCAGGCATATCAAGATCCTACAAATACTGCTTAATGGAAAATTCAACTCCTTCTCATCCTCCGTATTTCAAATTATTCATTACATTTGCCCTGTATTTCAGTAATGTTTCCCCCTTATTTAATGGGCTAGATTCAAAATGAAAATTCAAATTATTACTTCATATTTCAGTGTATGCCAGGAAAAGATTTCCTGTGTGAAACAATCTTAATTTCTCCTGTTCTGCACTTACCCCAGCAGATGCAGCAGTAAGCTATGCATCCTACCACCTTGACTAATGATATGAGCATGTCATGTACTTATTTATTTATTTATTTATTTATTTGAGCACATTACATTTCCTTTTGGCTAAGAATAATTTTAATGGTTTTTCCAGGCTGCTTCTTTGAAGAGACCATAACTGACATAGTTCTGTTAATAAGAAAGAGTAACTGTACGAAACTCACCAACATGTCCTCACTGCCTAGTTACCAATGAATGATAATCAAAACAGGTTTGTCTTAGGGCAAATCACATGACTTTGAAGGACCATTTGTAGCAGTGCTGCTTGAAGAAAAATTAAGAGCTTTTTCTATATAGCTATATAGCTTTCTATACCTCAATTTTGTTTTAATTTTGGACTTGCTGGACTTCAATAATTTACTTATTGAACTTTAGGGAAACTTCCTTTATCTTAAGATGTGAAAGGAAGCTGAAAATGTCTCTTTAACCAAAAGTTAAAGGAGTAAGTTTTGCTGTGGATACTCCTATGAAATGTCCTTTTTCTCTTCATCCTGCTTCATTGATCTGGTCAGGGAAATACTACTCTCAACTGGGCAAAACAGGTTCTGATAATTTCTCCATTATGACAAGGGAACTCCCAAGTCACCTACTACCTACCTACTACCTACTCGGTACTCTTCAACAGTTTCTTTCAAGAATATATTTAAAATATTTCCTTTTTGATGGACATAAGAATTCCTGGTGGAATGGAATTGTTTTGATTCAGCTGCACCATAAAGCTTCAGAAATTTTGGAAATTCAAAGGAATTTCAAACAATTTCTTAGATAAACATGTTGATGTTATGTTTATCCAAGCAGAGTGTTTTCTTGTTTTGCTCTCAGGGCTCCACATACCTCATATAGGTTTAGTTCTGGAGCACAATTTCATATTACTGCTAAGATACAGGCTTGCTGCCATCTTCTTTCCAATACTAGAGATTTCTTCTGATGTCCATGCACAAGGATTTTTGACCCTTTAGGTGACTTCTAATGCAGGGACAAATGCTAAGCCAACAAATACCTACAGTGGTTATTGTACTAAATACTATCAGATGTCTCAACTATTTTGAGAGCTCTTATATCTCCTTTTAAAGGTGACATTGTTCTCTGACATATTTATTTCATCTTCAGGATTCCCTTTCACTGATTGGTTTATAATATATCTTGCTACAAAGTGAAGCACCTAGAGGCATGATTTTGAATTTACTTTATTCACATAGAAAATTATAGTGCTGTATTACCTGAGGATATACAATATTTTACTTCTTAGGTATGATAGTACTAATAACAAATAAAAAACAAAAAAACACAAACAAAACCTAACAACAACCCAGAATACGAGAGAAGAGGGACTGGAAGTTTTACATGAATGGTGTGGTATGAAGTATCCTGGGCTGCCTTTTCCCGATATCTTGATGCATTAAGAAGAAACTCTTATCCTGAGTTAACTGACTTATTTTTAAGACTTTTATTCTAAGGTGTGAATTTATTGCAAAGAAATATTGTGAAGGAGAGAACTATTTCTAGCTTTTCCTGGAAGTCATACTTCAGGATGTATCCAAAAGCTTTCATCCTCTAGCTAGAATGGTATGGAAAACTCATTAGAAAACAAAGCCAAATATGATGTCTGCGCTGAAGAGATCAAGTGTCAGGTTTTCAAAATCAATACCTGAGTTTCATCACAATATGTTTCAGCCATTTCAGTGGAGGAACCTGTTTACATCTATAGGTTCAAATCTTGTAGAAAAGTTGTTTTCACTCTTTCCTTCTCATCAGTTAAAACATAATGACATATGCTAATACCTGGAGTAAACTGATTCTTGCATGAAATGAGTTTCTATTATTGCATCTCACTGAAATGTAATATAAAAATATTTTCATTCATATTTACCATTTTGCAAACAACCTGAAATTCATATCTGTCCAAATGTATTTGGAGAAATTTTTGATAATGTCACACACCACCTAGATGCAATTAAACTCCTATACTGAATGCCTGTCCTGTGAAAAAAGCTAGCAGTAATGAAATATTTGTAATTAAGTTGCCAGGTCTTACATATATTTTATATGAGATATATTTTGTTGAGGATGTTATGATCCTTCTTGAATGATAGGTGAAGAATTAAAACATGATGACATCATATTTCACTTGCTGAATTTTAGTAGCTGTTGAAACATCTAACATTTAAATCTTAAGAAAGTACCCCTGTTTGAGGGAGTTTATCAAAACAAATTTAATTTAGACACATGCTTAATCTCTGTGTTTGAAGAAAAATGTTTTTAAACATATTTTCTTGAATGGATTAAATTCTAATGTATCACTTTGTATCTGTAAGGTTTTATATTCACAGAAACATACTGAAATAGCGCTCAATTTTGATTCATTTTTTTTTAGCTGTTCTCTAGCTACATATGCTCCTTGGGCCTGGCAGTGCTATTAGATGAGATAAACCCCATATAAACATAGATATTCTGCTGCTGAAGGCAGAATGTTTTTTAAAATAGACAGAATGCCTCTACCCTATGCTTCAGAGACATTTCAGTAATTTTGCTGGGGAGGACGCTAACTTCAGATTGACTTGTTATCTCTAGCTATGCCAACTACACAGATCCACTGATCCTCTGATTGCAGGAGGGTTATCAGAATGGCTTAGCCCTGCAGGAACCTGAGGTCCAGGTCCAGACTATTTCTGTGCTCAACCTGATAAGCCGTGCTACTGGAGTACTCAGGTGCAGAGCAAGGAGCCCAACTGAGGTTTCAGAGCAGCCACATTGAGTCTAGCAAGGAAATTGCTGAGCCAGAGTTAACAAGCTCAGCTGACTCTGAACTAACTCATTATGGAGGACTGCAAAGTTTCTGCAGTGACCTCCATACCTTTATCTTTTGGGGTCATGAGTGTTTCAGCTCACTGAATAATGAAGAGCTGAATACATGCATGAGGACTTGATTCTCTGTTGTATTTTAATACTCTAGGTCAGATTTTAGATTTCTTTTTTCTTTACAGAAATCCTAATGCCTGAAATTTCCTTTTTCAGGCATTAGTTATTTCTTTCTCTCCCTTTTTCCACCTAAAAATCAATTTCTTTTTTCCTTTTTGTTTGTTTGTTTTGTTTTATTATAGTCCAGCAAGGAGACCAGTGTAACAGACATGAAACCCCTCTCTTTTGCATTTAAAAGTGGTAGTCTAAATTAAGAATGTGGATATTAGTTGCTTGCTTTGTTTTATATCTCTGAGTTTTATTTGTGTTAAATGAATTTCCTGTCACTGATCCCAAGCTGGTATTTTCGGGATAGCATGAAATTGGTTTCCGAGTTCAAGCCTTCACTACATTATGATGCCATAATGTTATACAATCTCCTTTGCTAATGGCCTAATCTGATTTAGAACAAAACATTTTTAGCAAATACTCAGATTCATTAACCACTTCCAAGCTAAATCAGCATACATGCACTGTATGCACCTAGGTGCTAGGACAGGTCTTGATCACCAGCTGATACAGAATAGCAGAGCAAAGAAACTGCAAGTAAAGGGAAATAGACATTTTATTGAAGGAAAGAAAATAACAGAGGAGAGTAATGGCTTCTGTCTCTTCAGATTATTGGTAGCATGGGTTTGCTCCAGGTAGGTTTTTGCAGCTCTCACAACACATCTGCCTTACTCCAGCAGCTATAAACGTCAGTTTACCCCAGCATCACCTCACAGCAGACTCTTTCTCTCAGACTCTGTAACATTTCCCTTTAGTTTTTTTGGTCCTTATAAAATCTCCTACAGGGCTTTGGTTTCAGAATCTAGATGCTTTAGAGAAGAGTTAGTACAGATTTGTACCAATTTAATTTTTTACTTTTGTATGGCAACCTATGAAAAGCTTGTTTTAATTCTTTCCCTGTCCCTCAGGGAAACGGGAAACTAAATAAACCTATATAAGAACAATAAGTACTCTAGCTCCCTGCCCTATTTGTTATTCTTCTTCCATACTAGTTTTGGAGCAGATTTAAAAATGCATTTGTTAGTGATATGCCAGAATTTGAGAAGGTTTGTTTTTGTCATTATAGATCAGATGATTTCTCTTACCTTCTTCAATATGTTTAATTTTTTTTTTCTATTGGATTGATATTGGTATATACATGTGTAGAAATGTTTTTAAAGCTGCCTTATCTGTTATGTAAACAGACAATCGAAAATTCTATTACTGTAAAACATTACTACCATGAGCCTCAGAAAGAATAGGTATCCATACAGATTTTCAAAAGCTAACATAAAATCACCACACCATAAGTACTAATGGTTTTAAGGCTAAGGTTTTGCATCAGAGCTGTAACTTCTTTGTCCTTTGACCTGTATGTATGGGCATTTACTTTTGTACTTCATAGTCTTCCTATAACTGGTAAATGCTGGCCACATGCCTGGGCATCCATATCAATTTGTAGATCAAAGAAAAGCCCAAACTAACTATAAATAAAATCATGAGAAAGTCTTAGAAATTGTGAGCCCAAGTTTAAGATGTTCAATTCAGGAATCATGGCCGAAATGCTAATGTATGCTGACTGAATTTAGAAAAAAAATAAAAACACAAAGCCAAAAAACAATAAACAAACTTTTCCTTTTCTGTTGAAGGGAATGTCACAAGGGAATAAGAAACTTTTAACTGAGTTTTGAAATACTGCCTTTGATTCTTTTAATGCTGTAGCAAATAGGTCACTGTTTGATTAAGACTCTTTAACAACTTCCTGTCCAGGGACTAGAAATTAGTATGTGAAATAAGATTAAACAATCCAAACAGGTATTTTATATCCATGATTCTTTAGACAAGGGGAGGAAAAAAAAAAAAAAAAATGAATGCAAAGAATTAAAAGAAATTGCATAGACCAAGATAGATCGTTTAAAAAATGTTAGGTCTAATATGGTATGAATTGTTTTATCACAATAGATGTTTTGATATACTTACAAAGATGGCAATATAATTTTTCACTAACATAGCTCTCTTTGTTCATGTTCCTATTCATTCACAGCTTTCACACACTGCATGCCAGAGGCATTTGCAGCCTTAACCTCTGCCAACATCCCTTGCTCTGACATAGCACCTGGGGAAGAAAGGGATGCAGGTGAACCAGGGCTAGATGAGAGAGACATCAATATCTGCTAGGAGGACTCCTTTGAAACACAGGCTTTGCTTGAAAGCTGCTTTTTCCTGAGGGAGAATAGGATGCAGGATCTCTCTACATAATTGGCTTCTCCCTTCAATGCGGCAGTGGGTACAGATAAATTTGAAAATTACTTTTCTTCTTCGGTGCTTAGAGGGTTATTATTTGCTCCTTTGTCCTTTTATTTAGTTATTAAAATAAATAAATAAATAAAAGTTGTTCCAGCCTAAAAGCCACATTTTTCTGTGAATTATTTAATTACAGTAGAATTTCCAAAGGTGTTCAACAAGCACTTTATCTCTGCTCCCATTGAAGTAATTGATGAAAATACTGTAGACATTTATGCGAATAATGATAAGCCATTTTTTAGAAACTTTGAAACATGCAGTTCTGTTATAATCCCAAGAAACTACAACCTCCTTTGAATAAGGGGTATAAGGAATACAGGTATTAAACCTGATAGTCTGTTCTCTCCGTCCATTTGCATTTTTGTAGCCCAAGACCAGAAAAAAGTACAGGTATTTCTTCTCCATATAGCATTGCAAAATGAAGTTTAAGTGTGAAAATTATAATTTTTCTCATTAGTCTAATATGTAGTTGGCTTTCCTGCAAAAGAATTAAAAAATAATGACAGAGATCAATTGGGATGACAAAGCTAGAATTAGGTCCAGTGAAAGAATGTAAAGAACAAGAATGGGATTCAGGCTTGGTTATAATCGTATGGATAATGTGTCATTAGAAGAAAATAATTTTAGCTACATCAATAAAAGACAAATTTGGAAACTAAAGTCTATTAAGTAATTCTTCTTTGTGAGCATGAATATTATCCTACATTGTCATAATATAGTACGAGGTGCAGGTGTGAAAAGGACCTATTAAATCACACAATTCATTCCAGTGCTAATCCAGTATTCTTACCCTGAAAAAAACAAACTTCAGTTATGGTATTTGAAAAGTTTTACAAGGAGTTTTGGAAACTGGATCAGTGTTGATATTTTAGAACTGGATTAAAAGCCATACTTTGTCAAAATACAGTTTAAGGGAAAAAGCCCTCTGCTTAACGAGAAGCTTTCTTGCAATATTTTTCCTGCCAGTAGCTTTTTCTGTTCACACACAAAAAAAAAAAAACACACCAAAAACCAAACAATAAACTCACAAAACCCCCCAAAACTACCCCCAACAAAACCCCCCAAAACTAACCATGTATTTCAGATGGAGTTGAAAACAGTTTCAAAACCAAGAAATATTTAAGGATTTTTAGTCTTGAGGTTACTAGGGATATTTAGCACAACTGAATGTAATTATGAGTCAACAAACAGAAGCCAAAGTTTTCAGGAGTGAGAACATAGCTGACTAATTCACACAGAGGTGAGTTTTAGTAAATGTAAACATTAAAAAACATATTTTTCTTTGATACAGGGATGTAACAAATTTCCAGGCAACTGAATGGTGAAGGGAATACTGATAAAAGCAGTAAATTGCGGTACTGTTGTGACCTAAAAGTAATTCCAGCACTCTGGTAAAAATAAAAGTAAGTGTATACAAATTTTTGCATAAAATATTTTAGTTTTTCCATCTCTTGTAATCTTACTAGATCTACAATAAATAAATTCATATCTATTAGTACTAGTTATTTCTTTTCAATATTAGATGTGTACACGAGCAAACAAATGGAAAAGAAGATAAGGTATCACTCAAGCTCAAATTAGCACATATACTTGCAGCATTTGAATTATTTCTTTTAATGTCCACCCAACCACCTCAGCCTTCCTTGGCAAGGAAATTTAGGTCAAAATTCTGCTTTTATATGCAAGTCTCTGGAATCTGAGCTGCCTCCCTCAGCAGCAGAAAATGCTGTATGATTGAGATAATATTTGTTGGATATGGATGAATAGAATATAAAAAACCCTAAATGCTTATAATAAAAATTAAAACCAAGAGAGGATACTTAGCAAAATGATTAAAAAATTAAAACCAAAAAGGGCAATTAGCTCATACTAACAGGATAATATATAGACTATTTGTGGTAGACAGTAATAACAGTCTCCATTACAACAGTGGAGGGTGGGATTGCAGTGACAGAGCATTTTATCTGGGTCATCTTGCATTTTTCAAAAATTTTTTTTTCATTCTTCAGGGACCTTAAGAATGCCAGTGAAGGTTCAGACCCACATAAAGTGAATTCTAGACTAGGTATCTAGAGATAACAAAACTGCTCCTTTTAGTGTTCTTTTATACATTTCAGAGCTCCACAGGCACAATTCTCACTCCCAGAAGTCCTGAGACTTCAGCTTTTACTAGTTTGCACCTAGCTCAAGATAAAGGTGAATTTAAATAATTTCAAGCTCTTCCCTAGTATTAAAAATACATATCTATCATATATTACCTTGTATGTTTGACAATATCAGTTAGAGGTACATATATATATGTGTAAACAAATATAATTAATGAAAAGGTTACTTCAGAATACTTCATTACTGACTGAAAGAAAATCCAAGTGACAGCTGAATAGGAAAATGACTGTTTAAATGCCACTTTGGACAAATAAATTGGGAAGAGACCCAAAAGAATGTAAAAAAGACAGACTGGGAAGCGTCACGGTAAAAAAAGACAAGAAAAAATACTGAAGGGCAATCCCAGACACAGCTACAGGCTGGGCAGAGAAGAGATTCAGAGCAGCCCTGTGGAGAAGGACTTTGGGGTGTTGGTCAAAGAGAAGAAACATAACATGAGCCGGCAGTGTGTGCTTGAAGCCCAGAAAAGCAACCGTATCCTGGGCTGCATCAAAAGGAGCATGACCAGCAGGTCGAAGGAGGTGATCTTGCCCCTGTACTCTGCTCTCATGAGACCCCACTTGGAGTATTGTGTACAGTTCTGGTGTCCTCAACATAAAAAGGACATGGAACTGTTGGAACAAGTCCAGAGGAGGGCCACGAGGATGATCAGGGGCTCAAGCACCTCCCGTATGAAGAGAGGCTGAGAAAGTTGGGGCTATTCAGCCTTGAGAAGGCTGAGTGGAGACCTCATAGCAGCCTTCCAGTATCTGAAGGGGGCCTACAAGGATGCTGGAGTGGGTCTCCATCAGGGACTGTAGTGGTAGGACAAGGGGTAATCAATTTAAACTTAAACAGGGGAAGTTTAGGTTGGATATAAGGAGGAAATTCTTTCCTGTTAGGGTGGTGAGGCACTGGAATAGGCTGCCCAGGGAGGTTGTGAATGCTCCATCCCTGGTGGTGTTCAAGGCCAGGCTGGACATGGTCTTGAGCAACATGGTGTCCTTGCCTATGGTGGGGGAATTGGACCTAGACGACCTTAAGGTCATTTTCAACCCTAACCATTCTGTGATTCTAATATCAGATTTCTTCTTTATGCCCATCTGCCTTTCTAAGTAACCTTAGCCAATAGCCAAAATTCCTGCTATACTTGGGAAGGAATAATTGCAGCAATGTGCGGCTCTTCAGTGGATTGTTTTTCTCAAAAATGATGTGTAATTCCCATCCCCAGAGGTTTTTGAGAACTGGTTTGATGGGGTCTTGAGCAACCTCATCTGATCCCACCACTTGAACAGGCAGTCAGACAATATGGTCTCTTGAGCTACTTTCCAACATGAGTTATTCTATGATCTTGCATACACTGCTGCTGCTCAAAGCCTTCAGTTTAAATCAGTAACATATGCTATCTAAAATCAATTAGTAAGCCATGATCTGAACTATCAGTTCAAATTGGTGTTCAATATTGAAGCAAATTTTGGTGCCTTATTAAATATCCAGTAGAATGAAGGCTGCACAGTTCTCTTAGGTCAATAACCCAGTGGCTCAATAAACCTCACTGGGTCAAATTCATGCCTAAAGTTATTTTATTGATTTTGGAAATTTGCCACTGGAAATATTATGTCAAGTATCTTCTCTCAGTAATCAGTGGTTCATATGGAGTACAAGAAACTCCATAGCTGAAAAAGAAAGTAAATTGCTTTCATTTTGCATGTTTCCCTGAATTTTCATAAATCTCTAATCCTTTTATAGTTGTACTAAAGTTTTAACTCCAATAATATTTTGAAGAGATTTACGATAAAATTTCCAAGAAGTACAGAATTATTTTCAATGACCAGTGAACATCACAAAGAGATTAATATTAGAGTTCAATTTATAATTTAGGCTCTGCTTTCTAGCTAAATTATTAAAAAAGTAATTAGCCACATAAATTGCCATATTAATTGTGAAGCATGAACCTGGTGCAAAACTCATTTATATCTACTTTTTAGATACAGTAATGTTTCCTCTGTCATGATTTATTTAATCCATAGATCCCAATGGTGGAAATCACCTCTATGTAGAAAATATGATAACAACCACTTAAAAATAGTTTTTCCTGGACTTCTACACAGGACTGGAATAATTTTTCTTCACTCATGACTCAGAATATTACACTTTAAGGATTACTGTCTGACTCTGTCCCAGCCATCCTCTGTTTTGGACTACATGATGGCTTTGGCTGGGATAGAGTTAATTTTCTTCATCTTAGCTGGTATGAGACTATGGTTTGGATTTGTGCTGCAAACAGTGTTGGTAACACAGGCATGTTTTTGTTCTTGTTGAGCAGTGCTTACACAGAGTCAAGGCCTTTTCTGCTCCTCATACCACCCCACCAGTGGGGAGGCTGGGGGTGCATAAGAAACTGGGAAGGGACATAGCCAGGACAGCTGACCCCAACTGACCATAGGGATATCCCATATCATATGGTGTCATGCTCAGCTCATGCTGAACACCTGCCTGCCAATGCAAAGTGTATGAATTCTTTGTTTTGCTTTGTTTGTGTGTGGCTTTTACTTTACCTGTTCAACTGTCCTCTCAATCTACAAGTTTTCTCATGTTTTCCTCTTCCAGCTCTCTCCCCTAGCCCACCTTCAGGGAACGAGCAAGCAGCTGGGTGGTGCTTAGTTGCTGGCTGTCGGAGAGAGCGACCGGAATCAAGAGAATGACTCAATATGAGTTATGCTTCTTGTTCGTTTTATAAAATCCTTAACCCCTTATATGCTATTTCTTACATGCACTTACAGTGATTTGGCATATTATGATTGGATACATGTCCTGAAGACCCTTAGTGACTAACATATAATTGGTTAAACACAGGTGTGAGAACTCGACCTCAAAAGCTTGCCAATAGTCCACGGTTCTCATTAACTCGGTGAATTCCAGCCTCTTATCTTGCTTGCTTAAGCTTCTTCGGGCCT